TGACCTTGACAGCTTCAAGGACTGGTTAGGTATATTGTAGAATGCTTCTTTTTTTTTTTTTTTGTGAGACAGAGCCTCAAGCTGTCCCCCTGGGTAGAGTGCCATGGCATCACAGCTCACAGCAACCTCCAACTCCTGGGCTCAAGCGAGTCTCCTGCCTCCGTCTCCCAAGTAGCTGGGACCACAGGCGCCCACCACAACGCCCAGCTATTTTTTTGGTGCAACCAGCAATAGTTGTTTGGCGGGCCCAGGCTGGATTCAAACCCGCCACCTTAGGTGTATGTGGCTGGCGCCTTAGCCGCTTGAGCCACAGGCACAGAGCCTAAATTCTTTATTGGAATTTTTCTGTTATTTTTCTCATGATTAGAAAGGGGTTGATGGGCCATCAGGAGGAAGATCTCAGAGGCCAAATATTATTTTCATTACATTGTATTAGGAGTACATACCATCAACATAATTTATGACTACAGGTGCGGTTTCTTCATCATAAAGTTACTCTTTTTTTTCGAGGGGGGGGACAGGGTCTCACTCTGTTGCCCAGATAGAATGCCATGGAGTCAACATAGCTCGCTGCAACCTCGAATCCTGTGCTCAAGCGATCCTCTCGCCTCAGCTTCCTGAGTAGCTGGGATTACAGGCTCAAACCACTGCATTTCATTTCATTATGTCTTACTTTCTGGCACTAGGCAGGTCTTTATGTTTGATTTTCCTACAAATTCATTTTTATTGTATTTTATAGATTGGAAAAAGAAGTGGTTATTGACTGCAGAGATTTGAGAGTGACCAAATACCGTCTAGCATCTTCTTCCACATTCCTCACTAAGCTCCAGCTATGGTGACCTTCCTGGAACACCCCAGACTGTTCCTGCCCCAGGGCTTGGTCTTTGCAGTGCCCTCTGCCTGGAATGTTTTCCCTGCCTGCTTCTTTTCATAATTCCAGGCTCTGCTCCCTTTTCCCCTCGTCAAAGAAGCCCCCTCCCACTGCCCCAGTGAACCACTTCATTGAACCACTCTCTCAATATTTTATCCCAAGGTGAAATGATCTCTTTCACATGTATTTGTTCATTGCCTTTAAATGCAAGTGGCATGAGGACAGAAATGGCTCTTGGCACCTACAATATTGTTCTTAAAAATTATTTTTTTAGCAGGGCATAGTGGCTCACACCTATAGTCCCAGCATTGTGGGAAGCCCAAGGCAGAAGGGTGGCATGAGGGCAGATGTTCAAGAGCAGCCTGAGCAAGAGTGACACCCCATTGCTACAAGAGAATAGAAAAATTAGCCAGGCGTGTTGGTGCATGCCCATAGTCCCTGCCACTTAGGAGGCTGAGGCAGGAGGATGGCTTGCTTGAGCCCAGGATTGCACTGTTGCACTACAGGCCAGGGGACAGAGCAAATCCCTGTCAAAATAAATAAATAAATAAATAAAGTACTGAGCATATAACACACTCAGAAATTTTTACCTGTTAGATTCAAGAAGTGGACACATAGGCAGAATTTGGCAGATGTTTTTATGGGTTCACACACTCTCCCAAGCCTAACCCTACACTCCTAACCTACAAAACCTCTAAGTCATCCCTACACCCATCTACCCCCTGCTTAACAACCAGGGTCTGCCTAAAGAGTTAGGAGGTGAGAGCCCAAGGAGTCTCCAGGTGAGGGAGGAAGAGGGAGGCAGGGGCTGGGGAGGGGTGTAGAGGGGCTGTAGGAAGGGCCATGCGGGCACACAGGAAGAGCCAGATTGTTTGAGGCTGCCTGGGCCACAGGAACAGGTCCCCAGGGGCAGGTGGGTCCTCAGTTCCTACTGGGCGTGTGTGGGTGGGGAGGTCCAGCCCAGCCAGGTGTTCCAGTCTGCCCAGTGTGGGGGCTGGGCCCAAGGAGGCCCCTGGCGCCCTGGGAAGGGGCACTAAGCCTGGCTTCTTCTTGCATACCTTTGGACACCCCTTCCCTGGACCCTCACGTCCTGCAGCCCCCTACCAGGGTGGGGTAAACACGTCCCCAGAGTGTCTGAGCGTCAGCTACAGTGGTTGTCTTTGTGAGGTTTGTCCTTGGGGTCCACAGAGGTCATGGGAACTTTCCCAGGAAAAGCAAACACCTGTGGGAGCTGGCAGGACATGCCAAACTCACAGAGGGGCAAAGCATGACACACATACACCCTTCCCTGCCATGGATGCTTCCCCATGCCAGGAGCCCCAGATTCCCTGCCGTGCCACAGACAGGGGAAATTGAGGCCCAGTGAAGAAAAGACCTTGTTTCCATTCTCCAAGGTGATGGGGACAGGAGAGGGGCTTGTGTGCCATACACATTCACAAGTGTGCTCAAACACATGCACACTGGTCTCTTTGTGTGCCCACACCCACTCCTGTGTGGGCATATCCAGACAGGAGGGCCCATGCCCCAGTGCCCCACCCTCTGGGACACCCCCGCCCTTGCTCAGTCACATGCTCTGGACCATGAGACCCATACTCCAAACACACAAGTACAATGTATATTGGGTGACACTAGAATTTCAAGAAAGGGTCAGCTCAGGGGCCACCATCTGAGGTTGTGGGTGGCTCATAGCATATATATATATATATATATATATTTTTTTTTTTTTGTAGTTTTTGGCTGGGGTTGGGTTTGAACCCACCACCTTTGGCATATGGGACTGGCGCTCTACTCCTTTGAGCCATAGGCACTGCCTCATAGCATTTATTTTTTATTATTTTTTTAAGAGACAGGGATGCCCAGGATAGAGTGCAGTGGCTCAATAATAGTTCACTATAACCTCAAAGTCCTGGGCACAAACAACCCTCCCATCTCAGCCTACTAAGTAGCTAGGACTACAAGTGTGTATCACCACATCCAGCTAAGTTTTTCATTTTTTTGTAGAGATAGGAGTTAGAGGGGATTCCAAGCTAGTTTCTATCTCTCGAGTCAAGTGATTTTCCTAAAGTGCTAGGATTATAGGTGTGAGCCACCAAGTCCAGCCTCATAGCATTTTATATAGTCAAGAAAACACTGATTGTCATGAATATGTATGTGTGTGTAGACTGAAATCTCCTCTGTATTTATAAATGCACAAACTTACATTATATTCCCTTAGACAGAATTCAGCCACCCACCAGGTCTCATGTCATAAACATACAAACGTATCTTGAGGCACTGAAATACATCTACACACATGCAAAGGCATTCAAAGCACAACTACTCACATATATATGTATGCTTACACACACAACCATGGTTATATACTCAGATTCAGGCACATGCAGATACCCACAAATGCACTCACACACAGAGATTCAGATACTCAGTTTACATTCAGAAAACAGGTAACTTAAACACATGTGCACCTTGTCACTTTGTAGGCACGAGTAAATGCTCACACACAGATCCACACAAATATCCAAAAATTCATACATTGGAGACTCAGCGTCTGTGGCTTAAGTGGCTAAGGCACCAGCTACATACTCCTAAGGTGGCAGGTTCAAATCCACCCCGGGCCGCCAAACAACAATGCTGGCTGCAACCAAAAGAAATAGCCGGGGGTTGTGGCGGGCGCCTGAAGTCCCATCTACTTGGGAGGGGACTGAGGCAGGAGACTCGCTTGAGCCCAGGAGTTGGAGGTTGCTGTGAGCTGTGATCTCTACTCAGGGGGACAGCTTGAGGCTCTGTCTCAAAAAAAAAAACACACACACATTGGAACACACAAATATTAAACAAATATCCACAAATAGGGGCTTATACTTTGCAAACATGCCCAGCAACATCCATACAACTGAACTCATGTACACAAATACCTATACTCATAATGCATTCACATATACACCTCCATACTGATGCAAACTATCAGATTCCTACTATGCACAAATGTATTTACTCACACAAATATGCGATTGCTGGATAAATACATGCACTCACACTCTCATGAATGTATTCAGAAATAGGCATTATTGCACACACTTATGCCCTATTTCACAGTTTACATAACCTGTCACTCCCAGGCTGACACAATGTACTCAAACTCACAAATTCACTCACTTAGTAAACACACATGTATGTCCCTCAATACATTCAGAAACTGTTGCTAACATCCACAAATCCCTGTGGATACAACCACATTCACATACTCATATGCAAATCCACTTGGACACAAATACATCCTCACCTGCTCACAATCAGAGCTCTTCCCCCAACAAACACTGCAGATACCACAAATACACAGACATTTACAAACACATCCAGTAATAACCATGTAACCACACTGATAGCCACAGTCACACTCCTGCATAAAAACTCATACTTGAAATTTCTCTCCAGTACTCCTGCTTTGACAGAGACATCAATCACACTCTCTTTCACAACGACAGATACATTATGAGGCACAGAAACACGCATATTCATATCCACGCATAAAACAAGATACACACACATAGACCACCTCTATCTTCAGGATACAGATCCTTGTACATGCACACGTTAAAAACACAGACCCACACCCTTCACACACTCATGCGCTGTCACACTCACGCCCAGATACGCACATGTAGAAACCCTCCAGTACACTGGGTCATCACCACCCGAATACGTTCCGAGATGTACTCAGATAGGAAGAGGCACACATTCTTGTGGCCATCATGAACACAATCAGAAACAGGTGCATGCCTCTGGGTCAGGCATTACAAACTTGCACAGGTGTTCCTGTGCCTAAGGGGCTGGACACTGCAGCGCTGCACATATGTTCACTGTCAGAGGGTCCCTAATGCTGTCCAGGGCCCCCGGCGCGCGCGCACAAATCAATCACATGCGCGCACACAAACTCTCAGCCGCAGCCTCCTCCCGCAATCGCCGCAGCCCAGGCCTGCCCTACCCCAGGGGCCTGACGGCTGGGGGTCTGGACCAGCCAGGGCTCACCGCGGGGTCCAGTCTGGGTCCGGGGGCGGGCGCACCTGGGCTCCGCCCCGGGGCGGGGCCGACGCAGCGTCGCCAGCGCAAGCTGCCGCACCTGGCTCGGCTGCAGAGGCGGCGGCGGCGGGCTCGGCCAGGGCACTAGCGCGGCGCAGCCCAGTCTTGCCCAGCCCGAGCGCGGACCCGGCGGCCGCAGCCCCGGCGCCGCCATGGTGGAGGCGGCGCCCCCTGGGCCCGGGCCACTGCGGAGGACCTTCTTGGTGCCCGAGATCAAGTCGCTGGACCAGTACGATTACTCGCGGGCCAAGGCTGCGGCCAGCCTGGCGTGGGTGCTGCGGGCCGCCTTCGGAGGCGCAGGTACCCGGCCCGGGGGCGGCAGGTGCGGGGGGCGGGGCGCCGGGCCCGGGAAGGCCGGGGCGTGGGAACAATAGCGCCAGCCGCCGGGGGTTCCCGGGCTCGGGTTCTCTGCCATTCCGGGCCTCTGGGCTTCCTGCTCGGCTCGGGCTGGGCCGTGGACTTTGCCCGCTGGGCTGCGGGAGCGCGGTGGGGGTAGGGCCGGCGGCCCAACCGCGCTCGTGGACCCGGGCGTCCGAGCCCCCAGGTGAGCGGGGCGGGGTCTTGGAGCCGAGTCGAGTCTCGGTTTCAGGCCTCCAGGTTCCCGCCTCTCTCACACTCCCCTCCTACAGGACCATCCCTTGCACGCCCTCCCCTTTGCACGCTCACATCACGCCTGCGAGGACCCCCTCGTCCCCTCCTCTGATCCCCGGCCTCGCCGTGGGGCCTTAAACGCTCGGGTCCAAGCGTACCCGGCGCGGGACACACACCCGGCGTTGGCCCTGCCGGTGCTGCGGGCGGCGGCTGGATAGCTCCGGGAAACCCCTCTTTCGCCTGCATGGCCCAGCCAGCGGCTGGCAGCTGGGACTTATTCCCTTATTTTACTGAGGAGATGGGCAAGCCCAGTAGAAGGGGAATGGCTTGTCCAGGACCCCACAGAAGTGGAAGGCCCCTCTGTAGGATCTTCGCCCTAATATTAAGGCAGATGCTCTACTTCCTCCCCAAAGCCCGCATGGGCTGGCTCCCACTCTTGTCGCCCAAATGGGGCGCATGCCCGTGGTTCCCCAGGATTAGAGGCCCTGAGCACGCTCAGTCCCAGCCTTGGGCAGCTCCGTGGCCCCAGGCCAGAGCTGGAAGTCAGGGCCTGGCCTTGGAGAAGGCAGGGTTTAATTAAGGTCTGGGCCTTCCTGGGGGAGTCGTGGGGGAGGACGTCCTTCCCTTCCCACTCCTCTGCCCATTGGTCTTAGCACCAGCTGGGCACAGCCCATCCCCCCTCTCAGTGGCCTTCCTAGATCAACCTGTTCTGGGTGTAGGTCTCCTGGTTCCGCCCAAGCCTGAACCTTTCTCTTTCTTCCAGTCTTTCTTTCTGCATCCTTCTATGTGTGTGGCCCATGCTGAGGCCTCACCTCCACCCCAGGATTTGCTTGAGGAAGAAAAGGATTGGGACTTGGGACCCAGGGCTGCCCCCAGCTCCTCACATACAAAGTTATGAGGCCATAGCTCAACTTTGGGAGTCAGAATTGAGTTTGAGTCCTATCTCCACCAGAATGTGGACAATTTACTGAGCTGTAAAAGAAGGCATTCATGCATTTATTTATCCATGTCCCATATGTTTTTGGGCTAATTGCTATGTGCCAGGACAGGACTCCAGTGATTGAGATTTCAGTATGTTCTTTGCAAAGTTGCTGGAAGGTATGGAAGAGGTAGTGAATACAGAATCCTTCATGTTGTGTCCGGCACACAGTGCATGTTGAACAGAAATGCTGTGGTGTGAATCTGGTGGTGTTTTTATCATTTAATAACAGTAATATCATTGCCACCTGGCCAAGAGATAGAGCAGACATTACCATCCCATTTTTCAGAAAGAAAAGTCCCTTGGTGGGGTTTATAAAATCCTAGTTCCTTGATTCACCCAGTGTCTGTTCTCATTGACACAGCTTCCTCCACTATGTGACACCTTCTAGTGGCTGAGGGTGAAGTTCAATATGTCCCCCATCTGCCTCCTCTAAAAAGGGGGGGAGGGCTGAAGGAAAGGGGCAGCAGAGATCTGGCAGACTCATGAACTCTGGGACTACTGACAAGTGCCTATCATGTGCCAGGCTGGTGCTGGGCACCCAAGGTATAGAGGAGGGGAGAGTGGATATGGCAGAGGGGGGATGGGCACGAAACCAGATCCTCACTGCTTAGAGTGATAAGGTCTGTGGTGTGGAAGCAAAGGGGGCAGATCTGGAGGGAGGACTTTTTTTCTTCTTTCTTTTTTTTTTTGATAGGGTCTCTTGTCGCCTTAGGTTAGAGTGGTGTCATTATAGCTTACTGCAACCTCCAACTCCTGGGTTTAAGCAGTCTTCCTGCCTCAGCCTCCCAAGTAACTGGGACTACAGGCATGCTTCACTACCACTCCTAGCTATTTTTTCTATTTTTAGTAGAGATGGGGTCTTGTTCTTGCTCAGGCTGATCTCAACTTCCTGAGCTCAAGCAATCCTCCCTCCTTGGTCTTTCAGAGTGCTAGGATTACAGGCATGAGTCACTGCACCTAGTTGGGAGGACATTCATGAAATCTTACAGAGAGGGAAGAGAGGGCTTCCCAGAGGAAAAAAGGTTTAGGTCTTGAAGGATGTGTAGGAGTTTGCCATGGAAAACAGATCATGTGTGCAAAGGCCTAGTGTGGACCAACAGAGAGTTCTCAGAAAAGAACATGCAGGTCTCCAAGGTGGCTGTGGGAGGTGGGAGATTAAGAAGGCTGGTAAGATTGATGAGGGCCTCTCAGGCCATGGGTGGGGATCTGAGGGCACTAGGGAGCCCTAGAGGTATTTGAGGACTGACAAGATCAGGTATGCATTTGCCCCATGGCAATAGTGGAAGACATAGTTTTGGTGGCCCAGAGGCACAGGTATGAGAAGGCAGGGCAGAAATACAGACAAATGGGCTCAGCAGAACACATCTTGGAGATAAGATTAAGAAAAGGTTCTAGGCCAGTGCTGTGGCTCACACCTGGAATGCTAACACTTTTGGAAGCCAAGGCAGGAAGATTGCTTGAGGTCAGGAGTTTGAGACTAGCTTGGGCAAGAGCGAGACCCCTTTTCTACAAAAAATAGGAAAAGAAGCCGGGTATGGTGGTATACACCTATAGTCCCAGCTACTCAAAGGCTGAGGCAGGAGAATTAATTGAGCCTAGGAATTCAAGGCTGCAGTGAGGTGTGATTATGTCACCGCACTCAAGCCTGGTGACAGTGCAAGATCTCATCTTAAAAATACATAAATACAGACATGCTGGATTTCAAATACTTGGTTCAAAAAACAAAATGTGAAATACCTCATTAATAGTGTTTTGTTGTTGATGATGATGTTGGTTTTTGTGACAGTCTCACTATGTCGCCCTCGGTAGAGTGCCAGCAACCTCAGACTCTTTTGGGCTTAAGCAATTCTCTAGCCTCCGCCTCCCAAATAGCTGGGACTACAGGCACCCACCACAACACCTGGCTATTTTTTTGTTGCAGTTGTGATTGATGTTTAGCTGGCCTGGTCTGGGTTCGAACCCGCCACCCTCGGTGCATGTGGTCAGCACCGTAACCACTGTGCCATGGGTGCTGCCCATTAATAGTGTTTTTATACTGATTACACATTGAAATATTTTGGGTATATACTGGGTTGAATAAAATAAATTTCTAAACTCATTTTAGTTTCTACATTTCTTTTTTCTTTTTTTTCTTTTTTGAGACAGAGCCTCAAGCTGTCTCCCTGGGTAGAGTGCCGTAGCATTACAGCTCACAGCAACCTCCAACTCCTGGGCTCAAGCGAGTCTCCTGCCTCTGCCTCCCAAGTAGCTGGGACCACAGGCGTCCGCCACAACGCCTGGCTATTTTTTGGTTGCAGCTGTCATTGTTGTTTGGCGGGTCCGGGCTGGGGATTCGAACCCGCCACCTTAGGTGTCCGTGGCTGGCACCTTAGCCACTTGAGCTATAGGTGCCGAGCCAGTTTCTACATTTTTAATGTGGCTACTAGAAAGCTTAAAACTACATAAGTGAGCTCTCACTAGGTTTCTAGCAGACAGCACTGCTCTGCAGTATATGTTCAATGAACATTTTATGGTATAGGGCAATGGTTCTCAACTGGCGAGAGTTTTGCCCCTTAGGAGATATTTTTGGTCATGCTACTGGCATCTAGTAAGTAGAGATAAGGGATTTTGCTGATACCTTGCAATGCACAGGACAGCATTCTTCCAACATGAAGAATTCTCCCAAATCCCAACAGTGCCAAGGTGGAAGACCACTGGTATAGAATAAGTGCTTGACAAATAATATTGATTCAGCCTGGGCAACAAAGTACAATGCTGTCCCTACCAAAAAAAAATTATCTAGTTGTGGTGGCACATGTCTGTATTCCCAGCTATTCGGGAGGCTGAGGCAAGAGGATTGATTGCCTGAGCCTAGGAGTCTGAGGTTACAATTGGCTATGATCGTGCCACTGCACTATAGATAGCCTGGGTGACAGAGTGAAATCCTGTCTCAAAAAATCAAAATGCTAGCAATCAGGAGGACTAGCTCACATGTTTTCATCTTGAAGGCCCTGAGAAATACAGCAGTTGTTTGATTTTGCTAACAGGAGCAGGAAATGCTTGGGGCCTATATTCCAGTGGGGTTGGGGGTGGGGTGGGCAGGAGGGTTTGGATTTGGGAGATGCCAGGAGGTTGAAACCAGAGGACTGATTGGATGTGGAATTTGAGGGTAAAGAGAGAGAGGTATGCTGATTCCTCACTGCCGGACAAGGAGGAGAAGCGGGAATAAAGGAAGATGCAGAGAGTTGTGGGAGATGTGGGGGATCTGAGGGAGGGCGGTGGCATTCTTGGCCCAGCCTGGTGGGCGGTACTTGAGAGGAGGAGCCAGGTGCAGCAGGTGCAGTCCTCCAATAGCCACTGAAGCTGTCCTGGGGTGGGGCATTTCCACGAACAAGGAGATGCCAGAGGTCAGAAGGTTTCTGGAAGGAGGTGCTGGGCACAGAGCCCAGGAGAAATGTCCCAGAGATTGGTGCTGGGGACAAAGTTGGAAGCAAGGAGGGCAGAAGCCAGGTCAGGGAGGTTGAGGAAGGGAAGGGGGTGAGGTCGGGAGGCCTGTGCACAAGCAAGCTGGAAATCACTTTTTTTTAAGGAGCTTAGCTGAGGGCTGCAGGAAGAAGGCACCCTGAATGTGGGGCTGTAAGTGGGAAGGTCAAGTGTGGTTTGCAGGGGGTGGAGAAGGAGCCAGGGCAGAGAGGAGACAGAAGGCAGGCAAAGATGCCTGGGCCCTCCTGTCTAGGAGGGGTTTCTTGGGAGCCTGGCTGTGAAGAGGGATACCTGGGGAAGGGGTGGTCTTTGGGGCCACATTCAGTTTCATTGTGAAACACAAGAGACTCTCTCCCATTCCTTCAAATACAGAAACCCAATGTTCGAAACAGCTGGGCTAACTGGAGCTGGAACTCAGCACCTTCTCCCTGACCTCCCCAGATCTTCCTGGCTCTCTCCTCTCCACTCTTGGGTCCTATTCCAGGCTCTGCCTCCCACTATCCAAGAGGCTTCCTTAGGCCTCTTTCCACCATCTTATTCAGGGGTCTCCTGGCTGTTCCTTTAAACCCCACCCCTCTGTGTCCACAGCCATTGCCCCCCTCCCTCAGCTCAGTCACTGCCTTTTCTGTTCCATTTCCCCCCTCAGACTCCAATAAGGTGTTGGGTACCTCCCTCTCTGTCTCCTACTTCCTCCCTTCAGTCACCAAGTCTAGGTTACACTTAAAAGGCACAAAGTCCCTTTGAGGAGGGCACCTCCCCGGTTGCATGCCGTTCCCCACTCTTCATAGCTCCTTTTTTTTTTTTTTTTGAGACAGAGCCTCAAGCTGTCCCCCTGGGTAGAGTGCCATGGCTTCACTGCTCACAGCAACCTCCAACTCCTGGGCTCAAGCGAGTCTCCTGCCTCCGCCTCCCAAGTAGCTGGGACCACAGGCGCCCGCCACAATGCCTGGCTATTTTTTGGTTGAAGCCATTATTGTTTGGCGGGCCCGGGCTGGATTCAAACCCACCACCTTTGGTGTATGTGACTGGTTCCTTAGCCGCTTGAGCCACACGCGCTGAGCCTTCATAGCTCCTTCTACCCCACCTGCACTCTGAGAGAGGGCATCCAGTTTGTTGGGTTTGAATCTCTGCCCCACAGGTGTTGAAGAGCTGTGTGGCCTAGGGCAGGGTACTTTCCCTCTCTACACCTCAGTTTCCTTCTATGTACAGTGGAGTTACCAATTGTGCCCTATCTGCTTCCTGGAGTTGATGCAAGGCTTAGTCTAAATCCAGCCAGGGCAGAAAGCAGGGTTGGCTTTCTGAAAATCCCTTCCAGAGAGTGATCACCCAGGCTTTCTGGGTGGCTATCTGAGGACGCCCCCAGTGACAAGGCTATTGTCATTGAAATATTGTTGCTGTATTTCCGTAGGGCCTTTCAGCTGGTCTGGGGTGAAGGGAAGCCTCTCTCCCCTACCAGCTGATCTAAGTCAACCATCTCCCTGAGGTGTTCTCTCCCACTTCCCAGCCTTCGCAGTCTCTTCTACCTGGGACACCGCCACCACCCTTTCCTCTGGCGACTCCTGCACACCTGTGCATTTCTCCCTTCTCGGTGCCATTCTCTCTAGTCCAAATGCCCCCTTAATTAGGGCCATGTGATTGTGTGTTGTGTGTGTGTGTGGGATGTATCTGGTGGCTCTGACCCACGGTGTTTCACCTACCTGCCCTCGCAGAGCACGTGCCCCCAGAGCTGTGGGAACCCTTCTATACAGACCAGTATGCACAGGAACACGTGAAGCCCCCAGTGACGAGGCTGCTGCTCTCAGCTGAGCTCTACTGCCGGGCCTGGCGCCAGGCACTGCCGCAGCTTGAAATACCCCCCAACCCCTCTGCACTGTTGGCCTTGTTGGCACGGAGGGGCACGGTGCCCTCACTTCCTGAACGCCCAGTGCATGAGGCAGACCTGAGACACCAGCCCATTCTCATGGTAAGCCACGCCTCTGCCAGGTGGGCCCCACCCCTGCCTAGTAGGGTCTGCCTACTAGACCTGGCTCCTCCCTTCAAGCTCCTCCTAACTGGAGGGATTTCTCTCAGGCCCTACCTATTAAGCCAAGGTCCTCCCAGCAGGCCTGGAGCCTCCTCTCAAGCTTTTCCCACCAGGCCTGGCTACTCCTCTCAAGGCTTGCCCATTAAGCCTAGCTTATCCCGCGGGACCTGGCTCTTCCTCTTAAGTACTACCCACCGCCAGGCCTGACCCCTCCCTAAGCTCCCCCCACCAATCCGAGCCCCTCCCTCTAAGTCTGGCTTTATGAAAAGGTGCTATCTGTTCCTTGAGGAACACAGCCCACCCTATCCTCAGGCCTAGTTTCTAACCCAGGCCAGCATGAGTAGCTCTCCTACAAGGCCTGGCTCCTCCCCTCATTCCCCACCCATGTCAAGCCTTTCCCACCTCCACATTCTACCTCTTCTCTGGTCCTTGGAGGCTGAGGGGAGCCTCCACCCTGTACTCAGGTCTCACCCTCCAGCCCTTGCCCCTACAGGCAGCCCACCTAGCTGTCATCGACGCCCTCATGGTTGTTTTTGCCTTCGAGTGGACAAAGACGCTGCCAGGTCCCTTGGCCCTGACCAGCCTGGAGCACAAGCTCCTTTTCTGGGTGGACACGGTAGGTGAGGTTGGAACAGGATGGGATGAGGCACACCTGCTCCCCAAGCATCATCCAGTGACCAGAGCACTGACCTTTCCATGCATCCCCAGACTGTCCGGCGACTACAGGAAAAGATGGAGCAGGAAGCTGCCCAGCGAGCCCCCACAGATGGAACGGCCTCATCTCAGCCCTCGGTGAGGCTAGGACATGGGACAGAAGGACACATGATGGAGAGCTGGGTGGGTGGGGCGGGGCTGTGTCTCACAGCCATTTCTGAAGTGGGGGGTGGAGGTGACACTCTTCTTTCCCTTTCTTCCCTTCTCTCCCTCTCTGTGCTGTCCCCTGCACCGGCGCCCACTGCCCTCCGCCCTCCTCTCTGCCTTTCTGGCCTCAGTGCCCCACACGCTGGTACTGGAAGCTGGTTCCTGTAAGTGGGGCTGTCTGTCTGCCCCTTTTGCCTGCCCTGCTTGTTGCTGTTTTTGCCAGCCTGTCTGCACCCTCTTATACCTTTCCCCACCTGTGAGCAAAGGAAGTTGGACCCCAGCCCTGAGGGCCAGGGAGAAACCTCTCTGTGAACCAAGAGAATGGTAGAGTCTCAGTGATTAACTGAGAAGGCAGATCCCTATCCAGTGAGCTGAGGGGGTGAACTTCTCTTCCCATGAATCAAGACGGCAAACCCTCTGAGACTGCCCCACTTAGCTGAGGTGGAGAGACCCCCAGTATTTCTGAAGGAGGTTCCCCCAGCCTATCAGGCTCATGGAAGAGATATGGCTAGTTGGGAGGAAGGCCCTGAAACCCAGAAGATGGAAGAACGCTCCTAACTGAAAGCCCTGTCTTCCCTGAGGAAAAATCCCAGCTTTGGGGAGGAGGAGGCCTTTCCCTAAAGCTGGAAGTTTGAATCTCTCTCTTCCTGTAATTAGCTGTGTGACTTTGCACAAGTGTCTAAACCTCTCTGTGCTTCATGTGAATTACCCCTGCAGTAGATCTGCAGGGAAAAAGTAGGGGAAGTTTTGGGGTTAGCTGGGAATCTCCTCCTTTGCTCACTCCTTTCTCCCATCTTAGGGACCTGGGTTTGGGGGAAGGTTCTCCTGCTTGCCTCCCTGCTTCCTCCTCTCTGTGAGAGCTGAGGGCCTGGATCTTTTGTGGGAGGAGTATTCCTTGCATAGGAGGCTGCTTTCTGGGGCTGGGAGGAGCTGGGGTCCCCAAAGCCAGCCAGTGCATAGACAGGGAGCTGGATGGCCAGAGCTCAGGACCAGGATCAGTGAGGGCCACCCCCTCCCTCGGAGGTGGGCTTGGGGGCCCAGCAGGTCACCACCCCTCTGCCCTGCTGATGGCTGCTCCTCTCCCCCCAGCACGCAATTGCCTTCTGTTTGAAGGAGTCGGGGAGCAAACCCCCCATGGTAACGTATTCCCCACCCTGGGGTTCCAGGAGTCCTTGTCCCCAGCCCCCTGCTGCTGGCCTGGCTGCTCCAAGATACCTCCTCTGCCTCTTGCTGCTGTCCCTCCCCTGCTCCAGGCTGGCCCCTCACTCTGGCTCAGGGATCCTCAGCTTCCTGCCCCCTCGTGGCGGAAACCCCAGGCCTGCCTACCCAGCCTGCACGACCACTGACCTGGGGGCTGGCCTGTCCACTCACCTGACCTGCCTTTCATTTGCAGATCCGATACCGGAAGGACCGTGCTGTGGCCCGCCGTGCGCCGTGCTTTCCGACTGTCACTAGCATCCAGGACCTGGCCAGTGGGGCTGCACTGGCTGCCACAATTCACTGCTATTGTCCCCAATTGTTGCGCCTTGAGGGTAAGTGAATGGGCCTGGGCTAGACCCCATCCTGGTGAGACAGAAGACCTATGTTGCAGCCTTCAGGCCTCTGTCCTCAGGTGTGCACAATCAGTAATGATGTGGTGGTTATGGATGCAGCTTTCAGAATCAGTAGAAGTAGGTTTGCATTTTTTTCCCCTAGTTAGCTGTATGACCTCACCCAAGTACCTAAACCTCTCTGTGCTTCATAGAATTAATTCATTCCTGCAGCAGATAAAAAACATTGAGAGCAGACTTGGTGCCAGACCCCATTTTTATAGGATCCAGCCAGAACAAATAGAAACACATTCCTGACCTCATAGGTGGCTAGACCATTATGGTGGTTTAATTCTAGACATTAAGTTTATACAGGAGTACCTTGTGGATGTTAAATGTCCTAAAGGGTAATACGTGGTCAGGAAGAGCTTATGGAGTTTAGTTCTTGGAAAATAGTGTTCCAGAAAAAAATGCAAAGGCTTGAGAACATTCTACTATGGTGTCCACCTCTCAGAGGGCAGCTGGCCAAGGCCCAGCCTGTAGGAGATCCTCTCTGGGGTCTGTACCTTCTTCCTCATAGAGTCAACCAGGCATTCTGTCCCTACAGAGGTGTGCCTCAAGGACCCCATGTCTGTGGCGGACAGCCTGTACAACCTCCAGCTAGTGCAGGATTTCTGTGCCTCCCACCTTCCACGTGGCTGCCCGCTTTCCCTCGAGGACTTGCTGTATGTCCCACCACCACTCAAGGTGAGGCCATAGTGGGGCCTCACGGGTCAAGGCTCCCGGGCTGGGTGTCCTGTCGGCTGACCCTTCTTCCTGCCTCCAGGTGAACCTGGTGGTGCTGCTGGCTGAGATGTTCATGTGCTTTGAGGTGCTCAAGCCCGACTTTGTGCAAGCCAAGGACTTGCCTGATGGTCATGGTGAGGTCTGGGCCTGGGGTCTGGGTGGGGGTTGGGGGAGCCAAGCTCTTCCTGATGCCCTTCTCTGTGCTGTAGCTGCCTCCCCCCAGGGCACTGAGGCCTCCTCATCTCAGAACAGTGGTGGTGGTAGCAGGTATGGTCTCTCTACATTGGGAGAATCCCTAGCACCATGGGGGGCTCCTCTTTCTCTGGGCTGGGCACTGGGCAGTGCTGGGGGATGCCTCTCTCCCCACCTCTGGGGAGAGGTAAGGAGGAGGTGCAGGTCTTGAGGCTGAGATGCATCTCTTGGCAGTTCTCCGGTCTTCAATTTCCGCCACCCACTTTTATCTCCGGGAGGCCCCCAGTCTCCGCTCCGAGGATCCACAGGTGAGGAGAGGGCTGGCTTCTGACACTGGGAACCCCTACCCAAAGATGGCCCCAGCAGATTCCATGTTGTCTTCTCTGACTCCCCCATCCTTTGGGTCCCAAGGTGACCCCCACAATGACTCTGTTGCACTCCTTAGTGATACTAGAAACCTCTGGTCTACCTAGACCACATAATGACCCATCAGTGACTCGACCAGTGACCTTGCAGAAGTTGCCCCTAGACCCTGATCAACCCCACCCAAGGTCCCCAGGGTCCCCATAGCAACCACTCACCCCTCTCCAGGCTCTCTGAAGTCCTCCCCATCCATGTCCCACATGGAAGCCCTCGGCAAGGCCTGGAACCGGCAACTTAGGTGAGTGCACCTCCAGGGCTGGGCTGGCAGTGGAGTAGGCCAGGGTGGGGTGGGGCTGAGGCTGGTCCCAGCAGCTGAACCCTCCCTCTGGCTGCCCAGCCGCCCACTCTCCCAGGCTGTGTCATTCAGCACCCCCTTTGGCCTGGACAGCGACGTGGATGTCGTCATGGGAGACCCAGTCCTCCTACGCTCAGTCAGCTCAGATAGTCTGGGGCCTCCCCGTCCAGTGTCAGCCCGGACCCCCACCCAGCCGCTCCCAGAGTCTGGTGACCTGCCTACCATTGAAGAGGCCTTGCAGATCATCCACAGTGCCGAGCCCCGGCTGCTCCCAGATGGGGCTGCTGACGGCAGCTTCTACCTCCACTCTCCAGAGGGACCCTGCAAGCCAGCCCTGGCCTCCCCTTACCTGCCTGAGGGGGCCTCCAAACCACTGTCCGATGGGCCTACCAAAGCACCCATCTACTTGCCGCACCCCGAGGCCCCCTCAAAACTGTCTCCCTGCCTGGTGGGGGAGGTATCGAAAACGTCTGCCCCCTCTGAGGGGTCCCCGAAGGCAGTGCCTTCATCCCCAGCAGCCACCAACTCCGACGTGAAGATGACCAGCTTTGCTGAACGCAAGAAGCAACTGGTGAAGGCGGAGGCTGAGGCTGGAGCAGGATCCCTCATGTCCAACCCAGCCCCACCTGAGGCACTGAGCTCAGAGATGAGTGAGCTTGGAGCCCGGCTGGAGGAGAAGCGCAGGGCCATAGAGGCTCAAAAGCGACGGATCGAGGCCATCTTTGCCAAACACCGTCAGCGACTGGGCAAGAGTGCCTTCCTGCAGGTGCAGCCCCGGGAGGCCTCAGGGGAGGCAGATGTGGAGATAGAGTCTGGCTCGGTTCCTGCTGGGGAGCGGCCAGCAGGCGAGGGCCAGGGCGAACCAACCTCGAGGCCTAAGTCAGTGACCTTCTCCCCAGAGCTGGGCCCACTGCCCCCTGAGGGGCTGGGGGAGTACAACCGAGCAGTCAGCAAGCTGAGTGCTGCACTAAGCTCGCTGCAGCGGGACATGCAAAGGCTCACAGACCAGCAGCAGCGGCTCCTGGCCCCACCCGAGGCCCCCGGACCTGCCCCACCCCCTGCTGCCTGGGTCATCCCTGGCCCAGCGACTGGGCCCAAAGCTGCATCCCCCAGCCCTGCCCGGCGTGCCCCAGCCACCCGACGCAGCCCCGGGCCAGGGCCAGCCCCGACACCCCGCAGCCCAAAGCATGCGCGGCCAGCTGAGCTGCGGCTCACGCCCCTGACCAGGGTGCTCACACCACCCCATGATGTGGACAGTCTCCCCCATTTGCGCAAGTTCTCACCAAGCCAGGTGCCTGTGCAGACCCGTTCCTCCATCCTCCTAGCGGAAGGGCCACCTCCCGAGGAGCCTGCGCCCCGGCCTGGCCTCATTGAGATCCCGTTAGGCAGCCTACAAGAGCCCCCCACGGAAGATGAGGGGGATGGGAGCCCCCCTGGTGCAGAGGATTCACTGGAGGAAGAGGTGTCTTCAGAGGGAGAGCCCAGGGCTGGGCTGGGCTTCTTCTACAAGGTGAGGGTCACTCAAGCAAGTGAGGACTTTCTGGGGACAGATGGACAGATGGGTAGATGCAGAGGGCTTTAGTGCTGTGGGTTGGCAGGTGAGTGGACAGGCAGACAGACCGACCAGGTGTGTATGGGCAGATGAACAGATAGTTGGGGGGCTGGATAGACTGATGGGAGGACAGACAGGGCTAGGATCTTATCAGACCTCCTCTCCTCCTAGCATGGCCATACCAGTTCCCCTTCTGGCACTGTCTCACGTCCACTCCATCCTCATAGCCACCTAGACTGGGCCTCCATCATTTCTCATCTGGATATCTACAGTCACTCCCTGACAGATCTTTGCTATCTCTCCTCAACCTCTGGCCATCTCCCACCAAAAGTCAGGAATGTGCCTTCTTCCTCCTACTCTTAAGATGAAAGTCCTCCCCAGGTCTTTGAGCTCTGCTTGCCTCCCACCTGGTCCTGGGCCATTTGCCCAGCTCTGCGTGCCAGCCTGGCTCATGGTTCTGAAACCTCCTGCTAAGTTTATTCTGCCCCAGGGCCTTTGCACTAACTGCTGCCTCTACCTGGAGCACTCTCCTCATCCCTTATGTTCACCTGGTTATATCCTCCTCACTCTCTAGGGTGCTTCCTCTAGGTAGGAAGCCTTCCTCAGTGCCCCCAGGCCCAGGGTGGGTCAGTCCCTGAAGTGTGGACAGGTGTGCATGTCCCCAGTGTTCACTGCGGTTTGTGCCATATTTGGTTGTCTTCACCGTACGGCAAATCACTTTATGTGAGCAGCACTCAGCTCTACTCTATCCCTGTTGTGTCCCAGTGCCCAGCGACGTGGGGCTGTGCAGAAAATAAGAATCAACTGAATGTCTTAAATAATTAGAAAAACAAGAGAACAGGCTTGTTTTGGAAGATGGGAATCCAGCTGTACCAGGGGAGGGGTGGTCGGCTGGACTCAGTGTCTGTCCTTCAGGATGAAGACAAGCCTGAGGACGAGATGGCCCAGAAGCGGGCCAGCCTGCTGGAGCGGCAGCAGCGGCGGGCAGAGGAGGCGCGGCGGCGCAAGCAGTGGCAAGAGGCAGAAAAGGAGCAGCGGAGGGAGGAGGCTGTGAGGTGAGGCTGGGTGCAGCTAGGATTCCTGCCCCAGAGATCCTATGACCTCTTCTGACTGCTGTCTGTCCCCTTCACGTATAGGCTGGCCCAGGAGGAGGCCCCTGGCCCAGTCCCTGGGGCCCTTGCAGCCCCTTCAGCAGCCCTGGCCCCAGCCCCTGCCACTCGGGCCCCAGCCGAGGAGGATGTGGGCCCCCGGCGGGGGGAGTTCACGCGGCTTGAGTATGAACGCAGGGCCCAGCTGAAGTTGATGGACGACTTGGACAAGGTGCTGCGGCCCCGGGCTGCGGGGGCCGGGGGGCCGGGTCGGGGCGGGCGGAGGGCCCCCCGGCCACGCTCTGGTTGCTGTGATGACTCGGCCTTGGCGCGAAGCCCAGCCCGCGGCCTGCTGGGTGAGGACCCCAAAAGGGTGGGGCCTGCCCAGTGTCCTTTCTAGGGCCTGCTGGGTGAGCCCCCATGGGGATGGGGGGAGGGGAGGTATGCAGGGGTACAAGGGCAGGGAAATGATGTGGCAGGGGTCTCAAGTGAAGTTTGACCCTGCCTATTGGGTAAAGACCGCTGTTGGGGCTGTGGGGGTGAAGGGTGAGGGCCCCTTGTGCATACTTGGTGGTGAGGATTTCCAGTAGGGGCTGAGCTCGTCTCCACCTCCAGCCTGCTGAGCCAGGTCCTCTTAGGTGGGTGTCTGTGGAACTAAGGTGGGGACTGACCCTACACTCTATTCCTAGGCTCTCGGCTCAGCAAGATCTACTCCCAGTCCACCCTGTCCTTGTCTACTGTGGCCAACGAGGCCCCCAATAACCTCGGTGTAAAGAGACCCACATCTCGGTGAGCTTAGCTTGGCCAAGTAGGGGTTGCATACATCTAGACTGTGGTGTAGCTCAGGTGTGTGTGTGCCCTGAAGAGAGGGAAAGAGGCATGTGGGAAGGGGATGGTCTGTACCTGGCAGATGAGACCCCAGGATGTGCCTCTGTGCGCCCCCGAGTGCCCGAGCCTTGAGCATGTGCAGGAGGGCAGGCATGCATGGACTATCACACTACCTTTCCTGTAGTGTGCTGGGACTGCTTTTCCTGGTAGTCTCTCTGCAGGTTGGAAGACTCCCCCCACCAGTGACCCTACCCACCTCCATGCCATCCTCCCACTACAGGGCTCCATCTCCATCTGGCCTTATGTCCCCAAGCCGCCTACCTGGTAGCCGGGAACGCGACTGGGAGAATGGCAGCAATGCCTCCTCCCCAGCATCGGTGCCTGAGTACACAGGTAAATGGGGCTTCTAGGGACATGAGTGCTGGGGCCGTCCTTGTCCCCTGGTCATCCCTGCTGACTGCCACGCTCCCAACAGGTCCACGGCTGTATAAGGAGCCCAGCGCCAAGTCCAACAAGTTCATCATTCATAATGCCCTGTCTCACTGCTGCCTGGCGGGCAAGGTGAATGAACCACAGAAGAATCGCATTCTTGAGGTGTGCTGAGCCCTGGTCTGGGGGGCTGGCAGGGGGGCTGGCGACGCAGCCTGGCCAGCTGACCACTTCACCTCTTCCACCACCCCTCCAGGAAATTGAGAAGAGCAAGGCCAACCACTTCCTGATCCTCTTTCGTGATTCGAGCTGCCAATTCCGAGCACTCTACACACTGTCTGGGGAGACAGAGGAGCTGTCACGGCTGGCCGGCTATGGCCCCCGCACCGTCACACCTGCCATGGTCGAGGGCATCTACAAGTACAACTCAGACCGCAAGCGCTTTACCCAGATCCCTGCCAAGACCATGTCCATGAGTGTTGATGCCTTCACCATCCAGGGACACCTCTGGCAGAGCAAGAAGCCCACCACTCCTAAGAAGGGCGGTGGCACCCCCAAATAGCACCACTATGGGTGGTCTACGGGCCCCCTAGAGGACAGCCAGTTGGTACTTCTGGGTCCTGTCTGTCCCCAACCTTGTCTGGGTGGGGCTGGAGTCCCCATCCCACAACTTGGAGTCCAGTCCTGCTGTGGGGACTGAGCTGGGAGGTTCAGGGACTCAGGGCTCAGCTCAGTCCCCTTGTCTGTCCTCCCCACCTTCTTGAATAAAATAATTTAAAGAGAAACTCACCCTTGTCCCCTCCCTGAGGCTGGCTGGGGTTCCACACTGGTTACCCGTGTTTTTACTCCTTTATTCTTTCTCTTTTTACTCCTTTATTCTTTCTCGAAGCAACTCTGGTGTCCCTTCTGTTCTCTCAACCACCCAGTATGGCTTCTGAGGTTTGGAGAGGTCTTCCTGCTAACACCACCTACTGGAGGTGCTTCTTTCGCAGCTGCCTCTGAACCCACTTCCTGGGCAAGAAGCTTCTGACTGGCTTTTCCCCGGCCTCTACCACCCCTACTCCCTAGATCTCCTCCTCTATGGCTCTTTGCCTTCCTTGGCCTTTGGGTCAAGGCCAACTTCTAACTTGATTTTGTCTCTCTTGGCCAGGCTGCCTACATTTCTTAGGCATGGCCTCCCTCTGGGCCAAGGATATGGTTTCCCTTCCTCTGAGCTCCACATCTGAGGATCAGTTGCTGCCTTGGCCATCTCAGATGCAGGGCCCACAGCCCAACCTCGGGCCAGGCTAGGATCGCCCCCTGTATCACTTTCTTTCAGCTCTGTGACCTGCCTGCTCCCTGAACCCAAGCCACCAGTCTAGGCCTCCCCATGTCCCCAGCTGCCTCCTTCCCATAAAGCAGCTTGTGTGACCTGTTCAAAGTACAAATCTGATTATATCCCTTGATGCTTAAAGCCCTTTAATAGCTTAGAGCATACTAATGGCTTCCCAGAGCTTAGGACTAAGGACCACGCCCTGGTTGTCCCTCTCCAGGGACAGGAGCACCTTACTAAGTTCAGGGAGTTGACCTTGGGTCTGCCCAACTCTGGCTTTTGAGGGTGGACCCGCCTTGCAGAATGGCCTTCCCTGACGGGCTACATGGCCCCTGGCTAGGGCTCAAGGAGGCTCCTGGGCAGGACCTGCTCTGAGGCCCCAAGCAGCAGAAGGACTGGCCGCTCAGTGACCAGAACTGGCTCTGCGGGGTGGGGGCCTAGTTATGTGGCCTAGGCTGGCTGCCCCACCTCCCACAGTAGCCAATCTGGGCACAAGGCCAGGTCACTCCTGAGCTGACAATGCCTCTGGGCACCTGGGTAGCAGAAAAGAGACTGAGACCAGGATGTACAAACAGTCTGTATTGGAGGAGGGGGGAGGGTCACGGGGGAAGGGGTGGGGTTCAGTCTTCCTTCAGGCTCCCGAACACAGCAGCTGGCACACTCTGCTGCTCTAGCCGGACCTCTGTGGGGGAGGAACAGTCACTCTCCTTCAAGGGCTGCCCCCAGCTGCCTGCCCCCACTGGGCCAGCCCCTTACCATTGGGCTCCAGGTCCATCTCATCCTCATCCTCCTCCTCACCCAGCTGGATCTCCTCAGGGTTGGCCTGCTGGGCCAGCTCTGCCAGCTCCTCCCGGGAGGCGTCACTCCTGGGGTGGGGACTCATTGCCTCAGTGGCCCTGGCCCCCCACTACTCCCAATGTGGGACCCACCTCCCCTCCAGGCCAGTCCTCAGTCCTCACCTCACGAACAGGATCTTGCTCTGGGTCCGTGGAGGCTGGTCCCGCTCAGCCTCAGCCGCCAGCTGCTCTGCCCGCTGCTCCAGCAGCTTCATGTCATCCATGCCACTCTGCCCAGGGGCCAGGTCAGACACTGTGGGATCAGGGAAGGGGTCAGCACCAGGCCCAGGCCCTTCCCAGTCCCCC